TAGTCCAGTGGAAGCGGGATTCCTTTCCCAGTCCAGCTGGTGGCTAAACAGGTGAAATAACTGAGAGCCAGACTCATTGCAGCCAGTGGAGTGGTGGTGTAATGTGGCTGGTAGGAGCAGTGGCAGGCGAGGAGCGGCGACCAGCGGCGTGGCGTGGAGCGGCAGCACGCCAGCGGCAGAGGAGGAGCGGCGGCAGGCACCCAGTGGAGCGTCCAGTGGCGTGGGACGAGACAGCTGGTGAAGTGTGGCGGAGTTTTATATAAAGTACCCCCTAGCTATTCCCCCACCCCCATTTCTACCCAGGTTGGGAGGTGAAACCCTGCGGGTGAACTTTGGGACTCTGGGTGGCACGGACCAGGGACAGAGACTTTTGGGGTGTCGGACTCTTTGGACTTCGGGCGATTCTTGGCTGGGGTGGGGGCTTGGCTCATGTTTGGGTTATGAACTCTGTTTGTGGTGTTTTCCCCAAGTTAATGCCGTATGTATGACTTCTCTGTTTCATTAAATGTTTCTTTCCTACACTCAGACTCAGTGCTTGCGAGTGGGGAAGCATTGCCTCTCAGAGGCGCCCAGGGGTGCGTGAATTTCCCAGATTACTGGGTGGGGGCTCAAGCCAATTCTATGTGAGATGGACCCCAAGATATTGAACCCAGCCCTGGTTACTGCCAGGCCTACCCAGCAGAAGGGTTACATAACAGAAGTTGAAAGGGCTCGCATGTCTCTGGCTCCCTAGCAATGCTCTAGGGCAACCACAGGCATGGGAAAGGCACACTCCCTTTCATAGTAGCAATTGAAAGGGCTCGCAGAACTCAGTCCCACTGGCCTGTTGCCTGGGAGGTGCGAGCCCTTTCAATTGCTTCTGTTCAGAGGGCTTGTCCCTGCTGGGCAACAGGTTAGCAGCAGGGCCAGGAGCTACTAGCCGTGTTATGTAAATTCTAAGCCTCCACTGCAGACAAGTCTCCACCCCCAGCACCCTCCCATCTGCTCCAGGTTCCTTCCATTGGCCAGAAGTCAGGGGGAGGGACCCCAGGGCAAGCAAAGCTTCCGGTAGGGTAGCTCTCAACCCTGCCCCTTCTGCCCAAGCCCCACCCCTTCCAGGTCGGCCTGCAGCCACTTCCGAAATTTGTGAAGTGCCCCCCTCCTTCCAAAGTTATTGCCCACCCCTGAGTTAGGGGGTGATGTAGTAAGCTACCTGCAGGTATGCAGGTTCTTTTATTATTTTTAATGTTTTCTCGGTAATGCTTTCACCTTAAGACTCCATGTGCTTTGCTTAGAAAGGGTTGTGCTGTTGCCCTGTGTACTCTGCGGAGAAAGCAAAGTGCGGATGCTGACTGGATTAGGCTGTCTGGCTTGCCGGGGAGCTCACAGTGTAGGCAAGGAACAGCGCAGCTGGGAAATACCCTGTCCGAATGTGAGCCAGGCAGGTCTCCACCCAGGAGAGGTGACAGCTGGGCAGCTGGAAGCCTGAGCGTGGGTGCCTTGCTGGACCACAGGTGCAGTTGTCCTGAAGGTGGCAGGGTGCTTAGCAGCTGCGGCGGGTACTGCCTCCGTGAGGCTGCAGGGGGCGCCATGGAGTGGCTCCACAGCTTTGCTCCGCCTCCCTCTATCGAGTGCACATTCCACTCACTCCAGAGACGGGGGGTGTGAAGGGAGATGGAAATGTGTCGTTTTATCCCTGAGTTCCCTCAGCCAGATCTGCTGGATGATATAGAAAGGCATATGTGGGCAGGGCCATCCCTGGGGGGCCTGGGGCAACACCCCTGCCCCCAACCTGCCTCCGCTCCACCCTGCCCCCACTCCACCCCTTCTCCAAGCCCTGCCCCCTACTCTGCCTGCGTCCCACCCCTGCTCCACTCTCTTGCCCCCTATCCCGAGTAATGCAAACTGGGGAATTACAGTGGCATGGGGCAGCAGCGGGGGTCACTCCCTTCCCTCCCACACTCACCAGTGGGAGCTGGAGCACGCTGCTGGGCCACTTCAGATCCCACCACAGTGAGTGCAGAAGGCGTGGGAGGGGAGGGGGGACCCCGCACACTGGTACTATGCTGCCCTGCGCCAGGCCCCCATAATCTCCTAGGTCTCACTCATCCTTAAGACAGTGGAGGCAGCTGCTGCAGGCCCCTGGCCTGGGGCGGCTGCCCCAAACCATCCTATGGACAGGATGGCTTTGTATGTACATCCAAACATCTCTTTCAAAGTCAAACTGAAAGGAGCAAGCAGGGATCCCAGGTAAGATGGGCCCCTTTCTCACCCTTTGCTTTGTTGCATGTGCATAACAAAAATCTTCCTTTGAGTGGCTGCAGGGAAACGAGGCCACAGGCCTGTGTTATGCGGTTTTGCAAGCACAGGACAGTCAGCCTATGGCTGGACATGCTTCCCTCTGCCATGGAGGAAAATGTTTTATCCTTGGGCAAGCTGACCCTGAATGTACTGCCCTGTAGAAGAGGGATATTTTATAATCGCCCTCCTCAAAGAGCTGAGCCTGGTCATGTGCAACTGCTGTGGGATTGCTGATTTGGGATGCGAGACGGGTGAGATACAGCCATTGTATCAGGGAATGTGTCCACATATCAAATCAAGGCAATGCGAGTCTCACTACAGCTTTGTGCACAGATGCCAGACTACTTTGGCTCATTCCTCTGCTGAGCTGATACCCCTTGTTGTTAGCTTGGCCTGGGATTGCCAGTCCTTTAGGAATTGGCTGTCTGAGGCACTCTCTTCTGCATTTGGACAGTGCCTGGTGGCATATAATACTGAGTACTCTCGGTGTTGCTGCCATAATAACAGTATTAAGGACAACCCTCTGCTTTCACCTCTTGCCTATTGATAGTCACACCATGATTCAATCATTTAGTCTCAGTTATTTCTTCTCCCTGGGGAAAAGTCCCTGGGAAAAAGTAAAACGCTGGGCACTGTGTGTATTTACAGTAGCTGCAGATCTGGCCTGCAGAACGTAACAAGAACCAATGTCTCTGACACATTTCAAGCAGCCTTTGGACCGCGGACAGTTATGATGGGAACATTTATTAAGGTGTCCTGGGATTTACAAGCCATGAAATAAGCCAGGCTCTTCAGTTGAGATTTATTTTCTGGTGATGGGAAGAAAAGAAGCAGTGTTAATAATTGTTTAAACATGAATTACAGCTTTACACTAAACCAATGTAGATGGTTCTTGGGAAAGCACATACTTATTTGCAAAGCCACTGTCTCTGAAGCATCAATAGCACTCTCCTATTGGAGGGGTGTAACATGTACTGTGGTGAGCAGTGTTCCCTGTAGGCTGAGCGCTTGGGTGGCCATCCAGGAGAGAGTCAAATGCCGCCCAGCTGATTAGCAGACTGCCCACTGTGCCCAAAGACGGCAACATGTGTTTCTACTGGTGATGCACATCTGCACTTGCCTTGGTGAACATAACAAAATTTATTCCACACATGGATGGAAAAATCAGAGGGAACACTGGTGGCAAACTGTAAAAGATGGGTCCACTATCTGGGGTAACGAATAAGATTTATACACGGGCAACAAGCATGTCATAAAATTGGGAGATTTCTATGCAAATTTCAGAATGTCCTAACAGCTGTTATCTTCTAAGGCTCTATCGAGTGCACATTCCACTCACTCCAGAGACGGGGGGTGTGAAGGGAGATGGAAATGTGTCGTTTTATCCCTGAGTTCCCTCAGCCAGATCTGCTGGATGATATAGAAAGGCATATGTGGGCAGGGCCATCCCTGGGGGGCCTGGGGCAACACCCCTGCCCCCAACCTGCCTCCGCTCCACCCTGCCCCCACTCCACCCCTTCTCCAAGCCCTGCCCCCTACTCTGCCTGCGTCCCACCCCTGCTCCACTCTCTTGCCCCCTATCCCGAGTAATGCAAACTGGGGAATTACAGTGGCATGGGGCAGCAGCGGGGGTCACTCCCTTCCCTCCCACACTCACCAGTGGGAGCTGGAGCACGCTGCTGGGCCACTTCAGATCCCACCACAGTGAGTGCAGAAGGCGTGGGAGGGGAGGGGGGACCCCGCACACTGGTACTATGCTGCCCTGCGCCAGGCCCCCATAATCTCCTAGGTCTCACTCATCCTTAAGACAGTGGAGGCAGCTGCTGCAGGCCCCTGGCCTGGGGCGGCTGCCCCAAACCATCCTATGGACAGGATGGCTTTGTATGTACATCCAAACATCTCTTTCAAAGTCAAACTGAAAGGAGCAAGCAGGGATCCCAGGTAAGATGGGCCCCTTTCTCACCCTTTGCTTTGTTGCATGTGCATAACAAAAATCTTCCTTTGAGTGGCTGCAGGGAAACGAGGCCACAGGCCTGTGTTATGCGGTTTTGCAAGCACAGGACAGTCAGCCTATGGCTGGACATGCTTCCCTCTGCCATGGAGGAAAATGTTTTATCCTTGGGCAAGCTGACCCTGAATGTACTGCCCTGTAGAAGAGGGATATTTTATAATCGCCCTCCTCAAAGAGCTGAGCCTGGTCATGTGCAACTGCTGTGGGATTGCTGATTTGGGATGCGAGACGGGTGAGATACAGCCATTGTATCAGGGAATGTGTCCACATATCAAATCAAGGCAATGCGAGTCTCACTACAGCTTTGTGCACAGATGCCAGACTACTTTGGCTCATTCCTCTGCTGAGCTGATACCCCTTGTTGTTAGCTTGGCCTGGGATTGCCAGTCCTTTAGGAATTGGCTGTCTGAGGCACTCTCTTCTGCATTTGGACAGTGCCTGGTGGCATATAATACTGAGTACTCTCGGTGTTGCTGCCATAATAACAGTATTAAGGACAACCCTCTGCTTTCACCTCTTGCCTATTGATAGTCACACCATGATTCAATCATTTAGTCTCAGTTATTTCTTCTCCCTGGGGAAAAGTCCCTGGGAAAAAGTAAAACGCTGGGCACTGTGTGTATTTACAGTAGCTGCAGATCTGGCCTGCAGAACGTAACAAGAACCAATGTCTCTGACACATTTCAAGCAGCCTTTGGACCGCGGACAGTTATGATGGGAACATTTATTAAGGTGTCCTGGGATTTACAAGCCATGAAATAAGCCAGGCTCTTCAGTTGAGATTTATTTTCTGGTGATGGGAAGAAAAGAAGCAGTGTTAATAATTGTTTAAACATGAATTACAGCTTTACACTAAACCAATGTAGATGGTTCTTGGGAAAGCACATACTTATTTGCAAAGCCACTGTCTCTGAAGCATCAATAGCACTCTCCTATTGGAGGGGTGTAACATGTACTGTGGTGAGCAGTGTTCCCTGTAGGCTGAGCGCTTGGGTGGCCATCCAGGAGAGAGTCAAATGCCGCCCAGCTGATTAGCAGACTGCCCACTGTGCCCAAAGACGGCAACATGTGTTTCTACTGGTGATGCACATCTGCACTTGCCTTGGTGAACATAACAAAATTTATTCCACACATGGATGGAAAAATCAGAGGGAACACTGGTGGCAAACTGTAAAAGATGGGTCCACTATCTGGGGTAACGAATAAGATTTATACACGGGCAACAAGCATGTCATAAAATTGGGAGATTTCTATGCAAATTTCAGAATGTCCTAACAGCTGTTATCTTCTAAGGTAACTTCTGCATCTGAGGCAAACCCCCAATGCTTCTGCATGGTGCAGCTGAGGTACATCTCTCAAAGTTGCCTGCTCTCCTCTTGGCATGTACAGCACAGTGTAATACTTCTAGGCCTGGAGGCTCAAAGCTGGGGTTTTCATAAATGGCTGGACTTTCAACATTGCTCATTACCCAGTACTTCTCCCTGAAATCCCCTTGAAGTCAATGGACTCTCTTTGGTCCTCAGGCTACTTCAGCAACTAAATAATGACCTAGGAGCCACACTTTAGACACTTTGGACACTAGAACGCCTCATTTTTGTGTGACTGTAACAAAACCATTTGCAGGGTAGAGATGGACCAAGGCTGATCAATTGTGATCCTGATCAAAACTTCCCTAGAGTCTGAGGGAATTCAGAACTGGGGGGTTGGTACAGTCCTATACCTTTGATTTAGTCATCTAAAACTGACTGAAGAGCAAACAGGTGGTGGTTCTGGGATGGGTTTGCTTTTAGATACTTCAGTAAGAGCAACTAGATAACCCTTTCATGCAAGTGTGCAGAAATCTAGTTGAGAACAAGGAGCTTTGCTTTCATGGGCTGATCCCTACCTCGTTTATCCAGTCGATGTAGGCAGACACCCGGGTGAAGACAGTTGGCTTCTTGCGAGTGTTGCAGCCAAGGCCAGATCCGAAGCTCACAATGCCGTGTACTTCCCAAGCGTTAGCACCATGGCAGTTCAGTGGGCCTCCAGAGTCGCCCTGACAGAATGTAAGCCAGAGAGAATTTAATTATAGTAAACCCTACTTATTTTGGAATAACTCCCCTTATTTCGGAATAATAAGCGGAGCGTCCACGCTACCAACTCCTAGGGCTTTAAACTAGGTTTGTCGGGGGCAGGTGAGCAAAGCCCACAGGTAAGTGCTGAATGTGTGGGACTGGGAGATGGGTTGGAAATGGGGGGGACTACGGCCTATAATGGCAAGGAGAAAGGAGGGTCAGGGCACAACAGGGAGGCAAGATCAAATCAGTATCTTAGATGCCTATATACAAATGCAAGAAGTATGGGTAATAAGCAGGAAGAACTGGAATTGCTAACCAATAAATACAACTATGATATCATTGGTATTACAGAAACCTGGTGGGATGGGACGCACGATTGGAATGTTGGTATGGAAGGGTACGGCTTGCTCAGGAAGGACAGACAGGGAAAAAAGAGAGGAGGGGTTGCCTTGTATATTAAAAATGTACACACTTGGACTGAAGTGGAGATGAACGTAGGAGATAGCTGTGTAGAGAGTCTCTGGGTTAAGCAAAAAGGGGTAAAAAACGAGGGTGATATCATGCTAGGAGTCTACTACAGGCCACCTAGCCAGGTAGAAGAGGTGGATGAGGCCTTTTTTAAACAATTAACAAAACTATCCAAAGCCCAAGATTTGGTGGTGATGGGGGACTTCAACTATCCAGACATATGTTGGGAAACTAACACAGCGAGGCACAGGCTATCCAATAAGTTTCTGGACTGCATTGGAGACAACTTTCTGTTTCAGAAGGTTGAAAAAGCTACCAGAGGAGAAGCTGTTCTGGATTTGGTTTTAACAAATAGGGAGGAACTAGTTGAGAACTTGAAAGTGGAAGACAGTATAGGGGACAGTGATCACGAAATAATAGAGTTCATGATCTTAAGGAAAGGTAGAAGGGAGACCAGCACAATTGAGGTAATGGATTTCAGGAAGGCAGATTTTGATAAGCTCAGAGAACTTGTAGGTAAGGTCCCATGGGAAGCAAGACTGAAGGGAAAAACAACTGAGGAGAGTTGGAAGTATTTCAAAGGGACGTTGTTAAGGGCCCAAAAGCAAACAATTCCGCTGTGTAGGAAAGATAGAAAATATGGCAAAAGACCAGCTTGGCTTAACAAGGAGATCTTGCACGATCTCAAAATAAAAAAGGAGTCATATAAAAAATGGAAACTAGGACAACTAACAAAGTATGAATATAGGCAAGCAACACGGGAATGCAGGGGCAAGATTAGAAAGGCAAAGGCACAAAATGAGATCAAACTAGCTACAGGCATAAAGGGAAACAAGAAGACCTTTTATAAATACATTAAAAGCAAGAGGAAGACCAAGGACAGGGTAGGCCCACTGCTTAGTGAGGAGGGAAAAGCAGTAACAGGAAACTTGGAAATGGCGGAGATGCTCAATGACTTCTTTGTTTCGGTCTTCACCGAGAAGTCTGGAGGTGTGCCTAACGTAGTGAATACAAGCAGAGAGAGGGTAAGTTTAGAAGATAGGATACACAAAGAACAAGTTAAAAATCACTTAGGAAAGTTGGATGTCAGCAAGTCACCAGGTCCTGATGAAATGCATCCCAGGATACTCAAGGAGCTGATAGAGGAGGTATCTGAGCCTTTAGCTATGATCTTTGAAAAATCATGGCAGACAGGGGAGATTCCAGAAGACTGGAAAAGGGCAAATATTGTGCCCATCTATAAAAAGGGGAATAAGAACAACCCAGGAAACTATAGACCGGTCAGTTTAACGTCTGTCCCAGGGAAGATAATGGAGCAGGTAATTAAGGAAATCAATATGCAAACACTTGGAAGGTAATAAAATGATAGGGAATAGCCAGCATGGGTTTGTGAAGAACAAGTCATGCCAAACTAATCTGATAGCTTTCTTTGATAAGATAACGAGCCTTGTGGATAAGGGCGAAGCGGTGGATGTCCTATACCTAGACTTTAGTAAGGCATTTGATACGGTCTCGCATGATATTCTTATTGATAAACTAGGCAAATATAACTTAGATAGGGCCACGATAAGGGGGGTGCATAATTGGCTGGATAACCGTAGTCAGAGAGTTGTTAACGGTTCTAAATCCTGCTGGAAAGGGATAACAAGTGGAGTTCCTCAAGGGTCTGTTTTGGGACCCGTACTGTTCAATATCTTCATCAATGATGTAGATATTGGGATAGAGAGTACGCTTATTAAGTTTGCGGATGATACCAAACTGGGTGGGGTTGCGACTTCTTTGGAGGATAGGGACATAATTCAAAATGACCTTAGCAAGTTAGAGAAATGGTCAGAGGTAAACAGGATGAGGTTTAATAAAGAGAAATGCAAAGTGCTCCACTTAGGAAGGAACAATCAGTTCCATACATACAAGATGGGAAGCGACTGTCTAGGAAGGAGCATGGCAGAAAGGGATCAACAGGTGTGTTGTAAGCAAAACTCGTGAAGTCATTCTGCCGCTCTACTCTGCACTAGTTAGGCCTCAGCTGGGGTACGGTGTCCAGTTCTGGGCGCCACATTTCAAGAAAGATGTGGAGAAATTGGAAAGGGTACAGAGAAGAGCGACAAGAATGATTAAAGGTCTAGAGAACATGACCTATGAAGCCAGGCTTCATGAACTGGGCTTGTTTAGTTTGGAAAAAAGAAGATTAAGGGGGGACATGATAGCAGTTTTCAAATATCTAAAAGGGGGTCACAAGGAGGAAGGAGAAAATTTGTTCCTCTTGGTTTCTGAGGACAGGACAAGGAGTAATGGGCTTAAAGTGCAGCAGGGGAGGTTTAGATTGGACATTAGGAAAAAATTCCTAACTGTCAGGGCGGTCAAATATTGGAATAAATTGCCAAGGGAGGTGGTGGAATCTCCCTCTCTGGAGATATTTAAGAACAGGTTAGATAGACATCTGTCAGGGATGGTATAGATGGAGCTTGGTCGTGCCTTGAGGGCGGGGGGCTGGACTCAATGCCCTCTCGAGGTCCCTTTCAGTCCTATTATTCTATGATTCCATGATTCTATGATTTCAAAATAACGGGCTGGTTATTTTTATCTCCTCGGGAAATAATGCTATTTCGATTTTGTGATTGCGGGAGTTATTATTTCAAATTTAGTTATTTTGAAATAATTTCCTAGTGTAGACATGCCCTAACAGTCCTTCCCATGATTGTGTGTGTGTGTGTGTGTGTGTGTGTGTGTGTGTGTCCTGCATCTCTGCAAATTCTTAGGGGCAATTCAGAACGGTCACTATTTAAAATCCCTTGTTTTCCTCTATACTCTGAGTAGGAAATAGCCAGTAGTTTGACCTGTTCAAGGCAGCTTTGTGTATCTTCTTTCATGCATTTGAGTAACTCATTCTATCAGGTATGTGGCCAAGCTGAATTCCAGATGTGGGTGAATTAGTCTCTGCATGAAAATTCGAGGCTCATGTTCAGACATGCATGAGGCAAGCATTTTCAGGCTTCCTCGCCACCAATGCACTTCAGTTCTAACCTGCAACAGCCTCTTTAGTTCAGAGGATGGGCCTTCTGCCCAGCTGTGAAGTGGATAACTCTTTTACGTTTATGGTGTGCTTTGGAGTCCAAATGCTTTCTCAACGGTGGGGATGTTAAAGTCAGTTTAATCAACTAATCAACGGATTTTCCATCGACTAATTTAGTCAATAAGCCTGGGAGCCGCGCCAGGAGCTAATCCCGCTGCATTTCTGCCTTTTAAATGTGTTAAGAGCTGGCAGGCTCTTACTACATTTAAAAGGCTGGAGAGTAGCAAGTGGGACCCGGCGTGAGCCGAGACAGCGGATTCCCAGTTCACACTGGGTCCCCTCTGCTGTGCTTTAGGCTTTTAAATGTATTAAGAGTCTGCTCGCACCGGGTTCCCCACACTGCGCTTCTGATTTTTAAATGTATTAAGCATCGGCAGACTCTTAATACATTTAAAAAGCAGAGGCATAGTGTCTGGGACTGGGCATGAGCTAGGAATCATCTGATTCCTGGCTTGCTCCCAGTCCCCGCTACCCCCCTGCATCCCTGTCTCCTGTGGAAACGGTGCTGGGTGGAACCAGCTTTTAAGCCGGCTGCCCCCAGTACCAGCTCCTGCTCCCCGCCCTTGCTGATAGAGGCAGCAAGGGGTGGGGGGAAGCAACTAGTTGAGGGACTAGTAGACTAGTTGACTAATCGCTTACATTCTCAGTCAGCAGCATCCATCGATCAGCAATGAAATGCAATCAGAAATGAAATCCAGCCACTCTGCTGTGGCTGGTTAGTGTTGGTGCTCAGCAGTTAGGAGAAGTGACATAGGGCTCTTTTGAAAATTATGGTGGGATCTCTAATTACTTTGCAAAGATCAAAAAGGGCACTGGTTTGTAAGGTTGAGTCCAAACATTTCTCTACATCTCCCAAAAAGAAGTAAATAACATCTCTTGGCTTGAGATATGACTTGACTCCCCTCTTTGGGTTGGAACCTCCAAGGAGTTCTGTGGGCCAAACTTGATACATGACTCAGCTTGCCAGCAAATGTCAGATGCTGAGCCTCACTTTGATGTCATCACCCAGAGCAATTGGTCAAATTTGCATAGCTAGGGTGTCCCTAAGGCTATGTCTAGACTGCAGGCTTCTTTCGAAAGAGGCTCTTTCGAAAGCATCTTTCGAAAGAGCCTCTTTCAAAAGATCGCGTCTAGACTGCAGGCGGATCTTTCGAAAGAGAAATCTGCTTTTTCGAAAGAGAGCACCCAGCGAGTCTGGATGCTCTCTTTCGAAGACGGCCTCTTTACATTGAAGAACGCCTTCCTTCGAAAGAGGAACTTTCGAAGGAAGGCGTTCTTCCTCGTGAAACGAGGTTTACCGCCATCGAAAGAAAAGCCGCATTCTTTCGAAATAATTTCGAAAGAACGCGGCTTGAGTCTGGACGCAGGGGAAGTTTTTGCGGGAAAAGGCTACTTTTCCCGAAAAAACCCCTGAGTCTGGACACGGCCTAAGAGTCACTGAGGCAGTTGGGAACACATCAGCATATACCCCATATCCTGCCTGCAGGATTTGCTCACCTTCCTGTGGCACTATAGTTCTGGGAAGACTTACATTGCATCCAGAAACGACTCCATCTCCTCCGGCACAGACCATAGTGTCCTTGACCCTGGAGCCCCACCAGTCCCACTTAGTGCAGGTGGCGTGGTCCACCACGGGCAGCAGTGCCTGCTGGAGGTCATCCGCGATGGGACCATTGGCTGGTAAATAGAGTGGGTCACACAAAGAGAAGAACCACCATCAGGAACATTGTACACAGGTGAGCAGCCAGGTCTTCTGTCTTCTGCCCACACCAGAGAATGGAAACATCAGTTTGACTGGCTATTGGCGATCACATGTGATACCCATATATGAAGGATGCAAACAGCAAAGAAGACTCACTGAGGGTGAGTAAAAGTGTCATGGAAAGAAACTGAGCAAAGGTGCTTAATTTAAGGAGAAGACTCGACCGGGCAAAGGACTAGGCGCATACAGTAGGATACAACGCTGCATTGTCACGCAGATAAACTAGTCACTCTCCTCTTATAAATCAGAGAGAGTGGAAGAGCCATAAGTTCTCCTTGAGAGTCTGAGAGCTGATCTGGTTCCAAGAGAAGTCCAAGCTCAGACAGCCATGGGTTTCTGGTTCAGGAGCTCAGTCAGCCTGGAGGCACCGTGTCCTATTTGCTCCAACAAAATAGTTTCCAATCTTTTTGGCCACCTGTACCAGTTCCCAGGCTTTGACCTCCACTGAACCAGATGCTGCTTACTTTAGCCTGTCACAGGGCATGGACTTTAGGAGAGGGCAAATAGCCATGGGGACAGTGACATGGGAAGCTTGCAGAGGGGGACACATTGTTGAAACAGGGTGCTTGAAGAACATTCAACAAAGCCTGGAATCTGTTGGTATTAGGAAACATTCTAAGGTATGTCTACACTACAGTTGTTTTTTTTCCGGAAAAACAGCCATTTTGCTGAAAAAACTTGAGTTACATCCACACTGCAATCATGTTCTTTTGAAAGAAAATTGGAAGAACAGAGGGGTTTTTCCAACATTGATAATCCTCATTTTACAAGAAAGAAGCTTTTTTCTTTCAGAAAAAGATGTGTGTGGATGGGGAAGAGGAAGTTCTTTTGGAAGAAGAGGAAAGAGGAAAAGCACAGGTGCCCTGGTGGCCACTCCATCCATAATAATCACAGCATAAACGTGAGATAGCGTCCAATCAGTGTGGACGCTATCTTTCAAAAAAACAGATAGCTTTTTCAATGCGCTTTGGCAGTCTGGACACTCTCGTTTGGAAGAAGTTTTTTCAGAAGATCTCTTCCGGAAAAGCTTCTTTTGAAAGAAGCCCTCAGTCTAGACATAGCCCTAGAGATGGGATGCCGTGGCTATAGGAAAAGGTGGTCTACTCACTCCAGAGGCGTCCCCATCCAGTGATGTAGCAGGGGAAGTCATTAGTCAGGACAGCACCGTTTGCGGGCAGGCAGGCTGGCTGGATCGTGTCGCTCAGTTGCACAGGCTCAGCCAGTTTGATCAGGGCAATGTCGTTGCTGAAAACCAAATGAGATTAGGAGGGGGAGTTTAAACTCAGCCGGGAAACTCTGGACTCCTGAGGACTGAGAAACTTTCTGAGCTCTCCCTCTGCAGGAACTTCCCTTCCTCTCCATTGGTTTGAGCAGAGAAGACACAAACCCAGTTCAGTAGCTCTAGGCAGGGCAGATTTCAGTGGGAATTTTGCTTGTGGAAAGGCTGCAGGACTGGGGTGTTGAAGCAATATGAGAGTAGGATCCTAACTTTGACAAGATGGTATTAAAAATAAGCCCACTGCAAATGAAGATACAATATTAACAATGTACTGTCAAAAGAGCAACATACTCAAAATGGCTTAAGTCCCAGTTTTAAAAATGACCAGGGTACTGTGACTGTCAGTGAAATCTAGGTGCCTAAGTCACTTGGGCCTTTTCGAGCATTTTACCTGCCACTTTTTCACCCACATACCTTTATCTTGAGTTATAAGCATAAACAAAGTCCAAAATACATGGCTAGCTCATAGACCCATAAAATAACTGCTGCCGTGCTTCTGTCTCCCGCCTGCCTGGCTTTTGAATTGGGTGGCATTGATTCATTTTAACTGTGGCACTGCATTGCAAAAGCAATCCTTCCTGAGAACGACCTCACCAAACCTCATCCTTCACTGCAACCCCCTCAGATAAGGGAACCAAAAACCTGCCCCGCCCACTCTAGTCACATGACTCCAGGTCAACGCAGGGATAGGCCAGCAGTGTGTTTGGGATGGGCATGGGCGAATGAGGATTGCTGACATTAGAAAAGAGTTCTTTGCACATCTTCAAGTTGCGGTGGGAGAGGTCTAGGTTGGATATTAGGAAAAACTATTTTACTGGGAGGGTGGTGACGCACTGGAATGGGTTACCGAGGGAGGTGGTGGAATCTCTATCCCAAGAGGCTTTTAAGTCCTGGCTTGACAAAGCCCCAGCTGGGATGATTTAGTTGGGATTGGTCCAGCTTTGGGCAGGAGGTTGGACTCGATGACCTCCTGAGGTCTCTTCCAGCCCTAGGATTCTATGATCTTTCAGCAAACATTGGACCGTCTGAATAGCAACTTTCCTAACTGCAGTTGCCAGAGGCATGGTTTAATCCAAGTGGCTCTGAGGCCAATTGGTGAAATAGAGACAGATCTGACTGATTTGAGCTAAGCTTTCACAGCAGTATTGGAGAGCGAGAAAGAGAGAGACTGCAGTGCCCGACCCCCACCCTCATGCCTTAGAAACCAGCCAATTTACGCAATCAGGAAGGAGTTCCATTTCTCATGGACGATGATCTTCTCCACAGCAGCAGCCACTGAACCTGGCTCCTCTACCTTCAGGTTTTGTTTCCCCAGGAGAACTCGGTATGTTCTGCTGCTGCTATAAGAACAAACAGTGGGAGAAAACCCGGTTAAACTTACGCCTCTCTTGGTTTCCTCCAAATTCCCTGCTGATCTTCTAGGCCTGGCTCTAGTTGCCTGGCTGTGACATGGCCATCCATGCAAGCTAGGGAAGTAACTCCGTTAGCGGCCAACTATTAGCCTCAATGTGCACCAGTCACTAGATAAAGGCAAAACCCAACACACACGCCTAGCATGAGTTGCATAGTCTCACTCTTGGTCCCTTCCTGGCCTTTGATCACATGCTTGTTTTACTGCACTAAACACTTGGACTTCTTGGCCTCCTTGTCAAAGACTCTGGGCCTGTTCTCTTAGGCCGTGTCCAGACTCAGGGGTTTTTTCGGGAAAAGTAGCCTTTTCCTGAAAAAACTTCCCCTGCATCCAGACTCAAGCCACGTTCTTTCGAAATTAATTCAAAAGAACGCGGCTTTTCTTTCGATGGCGGTAAACCTCAATTTATGAGGAAGAACGCCTTCTTTCGAAAGTTCCTCTTTCGAAAGAAGGCGTTCTTCAATGTAAATAGGCCGTCTTCGAAAGAGAGCATCCAGACTCTGCAGTCTAGACGCGATCTTTCGAAAGAGGCTCTTTCGAAAGATGCTTTCGAAAGAGCCTCTTTCGAAAGAAGCCTGCAGTCTAGACATAGCCTTAGACAAGGGTGGGGAACCTATAGCCCGGGGGCCAGATCCGGCCCTTGTTTGTCTGGATCCTGCCCCCAAGCATTGGGGAGCCCCAACCCAGAGCCTAGGAGGGCCCACAAAAATCTACTAGCCCATGCCCTTATGCTTTGGTGTGCAAAGGGAATATGTGAGGTGTCTTTCTGCTTCTCAGTCAGGGTCCACATCAATGAGGTGGGTTTTTGTGCAGCCTCTGACTGACTTTTCTGTGGGTCAGTGGCTCCCAATCCCAAAAAAGATTTCCCGCCCCACCTTAGCAAAAGACTTCGGCTCTGAGTTTGTGCTCATGGCTTAGCTGCCCTCTTTCACCCATAGCTGTTTGTTTGCTTTGGTGGTTCTCACTGTCCACTTCGGGGAGGAGGGGAGGGGAGCGGAGGGGAGTACACACAGGTCTTCTGGGGGGTACATCACCTCATCTTAATATTTATCTAGTTTTACACCAGGCTACATAAAAACCACTAGCAAAGTCACATTTCATACAGACAATGACTTGCTTATACTACTTTATACATAAAATGTGAATACAATATTTATATTCCAATTATTTTTATAATTCTGTGATAAAAATGAGAAAGCATGCCATTTTTCAGTAAGCGTGTGCTGGAACACTTGTATTTATTTGTCTGATTTTTGTAAGCAAGTGTTTGGTAAGTGAGGTGAAAACTGGGGTACGCGAGTACTGTTCCCTGTAAGCTGGGTGCTTGTGTGGCCATTCAGGAGAGATTCCAGTGCTGCTCAGCTGATTAGCAGAGTGCCCCTGTGTGATTTGTGATTCCCCTAGAGGTGCACATTCCCACATGCCCTTGTGCATGTGACAAAATTTATTCTGCACATGCATGGGAAAAAATCCACTCATGGAAGGAAAAGATTAGGAGGAACATTGCACCAATCCTGCAAAGGGGTGCAGTCTCTTGTAAAAGTTGAGACCTGCTGGTTTACCTGATGCAGTGGGCAGCTGTGAGGACCCAGTTGTCAGCAATAAGGGTCCCGCCACATGTATGAGCCCAGACGCCACTTTTGTCGTATTGCAGGGAGATCTGGAATGCACCAAAGTCATGAGGCCGTTAGCCTGGATTGTACTTAGTGGCTAAAAATAAAGCCCTGGGCTACGTCTAGACTGGCATGATTTTCCGCAAATGCTTTTAACGGAAAAGTTTTCCATTAAAAGCATTTTCGGAACAGAGCATCTAGATTGGCACAGAGGCTTTTCCGCAAAAGCACTTTTTGCGGAAAAGCATCCGTGCCAATCTAGACATGCTTTTCCGCAAAAAAGTCCCGATTGCTGTTTTCACAATCGGGGCTTTTTTGCCGAAAACAAATCTGAGCTGTCTACACTGGCCCTTTTGCGCAAAAGGGACTTTTGCCTGAACGGGAGCAGCATAGTATTTCCGCAAGAAGCACTGATTTCTTACAGTAGGAAGTCAGTGCTTTTGCAGAAATTCAAGCGGCCAGTGTAGACAGCTGGCAAGTTTTTCCGGAAAAGCGTCTGATTTTCCAGAAAAACTGGCCAGTCTAGACACAGCCCAATTGTGTGCAATAATAACACTGCTTCCTTACCTGCCAGGGCCAGCTGTGGGGATTGACAGTTTCACCTCCGACCACTCGGGAGATAAGAGGGGGGCTGGCAGGCTCGCCACAGCCGTAGGCTGGGAAATGCAGCAGGGAAGAGAGATGAGCAGTTACAAAGCACCACAACCTCCAACAGGGAGCCTGGCCTTATGCTCCTGTTAGCTGACCACCTCTGCTGAGGCATCCCAAGCGCACTTCAGGATGAGGACTTTGCTTGGGAGCTTTATTTCCTCCCAAACCCACTGCCCTTCTTTGCTGTATTGAGTGCCAGTTGGGTGAGCTGAGCTGGGAGTCTGCAGAAGCGATGCTCCCTAAAGGGCTGATGCAGGCAGGCGGAGGAGAAGCCTTCTTACGGCACACCTGCCTTGCATAGGCTGTGAGCACTGACAGTAAATCACACCCAGGAAATCCCCCGCATGTGGTACATTCTCAAGTGCAGCTGTCACATTCTCAGCAGGCGTGACCGGGTCACCTTGTCTGGAATCTCTCTAGTGAGGCCAATGTCTAATGGGGGGCCTGGACACTGAATTCCCGTCTTGCACTTGGAAGAAGTCCCTGTGAAGTAGATTGGAGGCACACCAGGCAGCTGCCTGTTCTCCAGCTGGCGATGACGCATTGGAGAGGGTCCAGTGGAGGGCAACCAAAATGATTAGGGGGCTGGAGCACATGACCTACGAGGAGAAGCTGAGGGAGTTGGGTCTGTTTAGTCTGCAGAAGTGAAGAGTGAAGCGGGATTTGATAGCAGCCTTCAACTTCCTGAAGGGAGGTTCCAAAGAGGCTGGGAAAAGGCTGTTCTGAGTGGTGATGGATGGCAGAACAAGGAGCAATGGGCTCAAGTTGTGGTGGGAGAGGTCCAGGTTGGATATTAGGAAAAAGTATTTCCCTAGGAGAGTGGTGAAGCACTGGAATGGGTTACCTAGGGAAGTAGTGGAGTCTCCATCCCTAGAGGAGTTTAAGTCTCGGCTTGACAAAGCCCTGGCTGGGTTGATTTAGTTGGGATTGGTCCTGCCTAGAGCAGGGGGCTGGACTTGATGACCTTCTGAGGTCTCTTCCAGCTCTATGGATCTATGATTCTATGAGTGAAAGCCCTTCAGTTGCAAATACTGTCTTTTGGCCGACCCCCCAGGCCAGTGTTTCCCAAATGGTGTTCCACGGAACCCCGGGGTTCCACGAAGTGAAAATAAGGATTCCGCAAGAAAATTCCATTACAGTAACATTTTATGATTAAAAAAAATTAATATTATGTGACTTTTGTTTTAAAATATGTGCAGTGAAACTAAATGCTGATCTCAGGACCTTGTTAAACATTTGTTTATTATTATCCTTACTTATTTGTGGTCCACTTTTTTCAGCTCCATATAGTAGACTGTTATGAGGAGGGTTCTGCAAAATTCTTTCAAGTTTAAAAAGGTTCCGTGGCCAAATAAAATTGGGAAACACTGCCCCAGACTCATTTCAGGCCTCCCCTCCCAGCCCAGGAGAATGGAGTTGCCACATAAAACAACTTACCACAGCCCAGCAGAAAAGTGAGGATCACAAACCTGAGCATGGTGACTGGATAGGAGCAGTGAGGAGCAATGCCAAGGGCTGACTACTTATAAGGGAAGCCCCCTTTGACCTAAAGCCAAGAATGGAGAGTCGCCGAAGCGCAGAACCAATGCGCGGTCAGATCAATATTTGTTCCTAACCTTGGCAAGTTATCGTTCAGCAAACATGATGCCTGGGGAACAAGAAGTAACGCCTTGCCTTTGCAATGGGCACCCTAGTAGCATTTCTCTGTCTGGAGAGAGCACTGAAGTCCTAGCTGTGACTGCATGAGGCATCCCTGGGGCTCAGGAGAAAGTGGGGAAAGAGAACTGTATAGCCCAAGGCTGTTGGCAACCACCTTATCTGGGTAGGGCTCATGGTTAAAACCTGCCAGATGTCTGCAGAGTGAACTGTAAAGAGCCAAGTCCGCTTCCTTTTCAGGGTGAAAAGTTGAGTCATCCTGTCAGGGAGCAGAGACATTTCAGGGAGCTGCTGATTGGATGCCTCTCATGAGCTCGTTGGCAAGGCCTTCTACTGGGCGTTATCTAGACATTTCAGAACTGAGATCCTGGTCACCTGGGAGCATGAAAGCCCCCAAAGCAAGAGTAGCTAACCCATGTTGTGGCACCATGGATGTCCAGGTGCCAAAGCGGGGTCGTTAGTGGCAAAGTCCTTCCTGCTTCCCCCTTTGAAGACTCACTTGTCTCCAGCATTCTTCTTCACCCCCCCAGCATTGTGTTGCTGTGAGCTGCTGCCCCTTTGCCATCTTCCACCTCAGAGGTGGCCGCACCACCCCTGGCAGATGATGTGATTGAGAGTGGCTGGTAAAACTGTTGGTAATGCATGCTGCTTATGTGCCAGATGCTGGACAAGGGGTGAGCTCCGTCCGTCCACAGTGGCAAACACTGAGCCAACATTTTCCTCTGTCGCTCAGTGCGCCTGGAGGAAATCAGAGCATCCCACAGGCTTCCTGCACCCTAAATTTCCTCTCTCTTCCCCACTGGGCCCTCCTTCTCTGTGACTGGGTCTTACACCCTCCCTCCCCAGGCTTTCCGCAGTTTCAAGGGGCAAATGTCCCGGGACAGGCAAGCACTGATCACGCCTTTGTCTTGGACGTGGCTACTGAGATGTCTCTCCTACAGTCCAAGGCTGACGTCTCAACCTGGACCTTCACTTCTTGTCCCTCTTGCTGTGTCATCTAGCTCCTTTCCTTCAGCCATCACATAGGTGTTTCAAAAGCACCTAAGGGATTTAGGAACCACAGTCCCAGTGACAGATAAGCACTTGCGGATCTATGTCTTACAGAACAGCTGACCTTGACAGCTGACACTGACAGCCCTTCCTCACCCTGCCAAATGCAGGGCTCCTTTACTGGGCGCTATAGCCAGTAAGGGGAAGGTCCAGGAAGCTACGTGTAATGGAGCAGGGAACCAAACAGCAGCATTTCCCTGGGCCCAGCCCAGTTCAAGTCTCTCTCCTCCTGCAGCCAGACTGTGAATTTTGCTTCTGGCAATAGCTCTGTTATCAGCAGGTCAGTGGCCCTGAACGGTTGAGGATTGTGCATGCTCCTCCCTCACCCCACCCCAGGACCAGGAGCAGGGCCTTGACATGGGGTGGGGGTAGGTGGGAGGAGGATGAAGCTGGGTTAAGAGGGCTGCAGCGGGGGGGAGGGTTGGAGTGGGTGGGTCTAGGACCAGGAACAGAGCCCTGGCCTGGGACAGAGGCTGGGAGCATGGGCTGGGCCAGGCGTGGAACCACATTGAGGCTGAGAACTGGGCCAGGCATGGGGCTGGGAAGCAGGGATGAAGCTGGGGGCAGGGTTAGAGCAGAACTGAGGGAGGGCAGGAGAGCAGGGCAGAGTAGTGTTCTCCCCCTGCTGGGGGCTGGCCCAGCTTGCTCTTCTCCTCAATGTTTCTCCTACCCCCCTTCCAGGGGGTCACACGCCACAGTGTGGGGCCCTCTGGCTTAGGTTATTCATTGATGCATCGGGGATGGCAGCAGCTACTGTGAGACCCTTCCCCTCACAGTGGCCCTCCCAGCATCTCTTCTGCAGGAAGCCCTGCCGTGCCATACAGCTGAGGGAGCCACACCGGCATGAAGTAGCTGGAACAGCGGCCTCTCGTCCTTGCTTGCTGAGCCTTGCCGGTGGGCGCTGTTTCAACCTGTTCAAGGTTTCTCCAGCCTGCTGGCCTGGCTTCAGGCTGCTACTCGCTTGAGAAAGGAACATGTGCGGGGTGTTTCTAAACCTTCAGACGTTAACCATTGCACACGTCTGCAAATTCATTTGCTGATTTTTGAGAGCCAAGGAAGGAAAGGGGTGTGGGGGAGCGGGGAGAGTGACGTATGACTGAAGTAAATTGTCTGTCACCTCAGCCTGGGACAAAGCAGGTTTCTTCCCACAGCAAGGCTTTGTGCAGAGTAGTTTTAAGTATGTCAGGCAATGTCCTTGGCACCCTGGGGAGAGTTTGCCACAGGGTAATTGCTCTCGCTGCAAGGCCCTTCTCCTGGCTTGCCTGCCATTGCTCATACTTCACCACTCACAACCAGGGGACAGGTCACTGGGGGTATCACTTCCAGCTTCTCTGCAGCATTTACTTGCATCTTGGGAAACTTGCTGAGAGCAATGCTAACCAAGCCCTCAGGCGGCGGAGTACAGCAGCATACGGATTGGCAGCCATTCCTTGGAAGACCACTCATTCAGCTGTGGCAGACTATGTACGCTCTTGTGCCAGCTGTATTTTAAAAGCTGGTAGTGGGCATGGTAAGGATACTGCTAAGATGCCTCTAAAGTCGTAGTGTTGTGGGTGGGAGGGAGTCTTTCCTGCCCTTCTACTGGGTGAAGCTACTGGACTCTGCTTTTTGGTCCATGCCATTTGGCCAAAAGTGCTACATTGTCCTGCATTTTGCTTTTTGGTCCATGCCACTTGGACCAAATCATAAACACTGATTTTTTTTTCCCGTGTGGCTTCAGCCACCTTTGGGGGCAGCAGTATTTGAGCCAAATCCTTCCCTTACACTAGCCTCATTGCATCTAGTAGCATTGCTCTGGCTTGCTACTGGTCCAACATAGAAGGCTGTGGCCCCTTGGTACCATAGATACACTAACCCTAAGCTATGTCTGGCAGCCGTTCTTGCGCAAAAACTTGCCTGCTGGCTACACTGCACATACGTTCTTGCGCAAGTAAATTTACAGTATTGTAAAACAGGGCTTCTTCTGGAAGAGTTATTCCTCTCCCCATGAGGAATAAGCCCTCTTGCGCAAGAGCTCATCCATAAGAGGCCAGTGTAGACAGGCAACATGAAGTTCTTGCACAAGAAGCCCCTATAATTAAAATGGCCATTAGAGCTTTCTTGCGCAAGAGAGCGTCCACACTGCCATGGATGCTCGTGTGCAAAAGCACATCTCTTGTGCAAAAGCACATGCCAGTGTAGACGTGCTCTTGTGGAAGACTTTTTGTGCAAGAACTCTTCCACAAAACAGTTCTTGCTCAAGAAGCTGCCAGTGTAGACGTAGCCCTAGTGTACCCATGTTCTGCAAGGTAACAATGAACCAGCTTTAATGCCATACCAAGAGCCTGGTGTCAGTAAAGCAAAGCAACATTTCACTCTCAAGCCTCCATAGGGAGGTCTTGTACCATATTTACGCAGCTAATGGGCATCTGGTGTAAGCTAATCAACTGGGGAGTTAGGCACCTGAGATTGTTCCTGGGTTTGCCACTGACTTTCTGAACCGCCTTGGGTATCTCTCTTATCTGCATGACCCTTCCGGCCCTCCTGGCATTAGTGTTTGGAAAGCAGCTGCCTAGCAGAGCTGACCATGGCCAAGTGGCACGTGCTGTTTTAGTAGCCTCCACGCTAAACTTCCTCACGAGCTGGTGAAAGGGCTCTGCCAGGCATTGGACATTTAGCCACCATGGGCTGCCTGGAGGGAGTTTCCAACTAGGGTAGTCCTGCCAGTGCCCCTGTTTGCAACGAACTGTCCAAAAACCACGAGCGAGTTCAAAGTCCAGAGCCCAATTTTGTGCCTGGCATCTACTACTGAATTGGACATTCCTGTCAACACTTCCGGCTGAGTGCAAAGCGCTGCCAAGGGATGTCACTGCAATCTGGGCCGGAAAATGTCAGAGGAAAGTCAGGGCTGAGACGTGCAAAGTACGGCACTTTGGTAAATATACGCCCGGCTATACATACAAAACAATGGTGCTACATTAGCTGTTACCCTGCAAGAAAGACATCAGCATAGAGCTTATGTGGAGCCCTGAAAATGTGAGCTTAATATGCACCAGCTGCCAAAAAGCTATTGGGAATGGTTAGAAAAGGGCTAGAAAATAAAGAGAAGATTCCCCTCACACCATTAGATAAAGCCATGGGCTAGGCCCACACCTTGAATACAGCTTGCAGGGCTGATCGCTTTACATAAAAAATGCTAGCTAAGAATTGGCAAAGCTGCAGCGAAGGGCCATGACAATGACATGGGGTGTGGAACAGCCTCTATAGGCAGAGCAAATTAAAGCGATTAACCATTAAAAAGACTGGGCCATTCAGCTTAGCACAGAGCTGCCTAAGGGCTATCAACTGGTGAATGGTGTGGAGCACCTGGACCAGGAAGTGTTATTTACCCTTTCACGGAGCACAAGACCTGGGCACAGGTGGGAGATGTCACTCAACGCCATCTCTAGGAGGGGTGCAAGACCTGGGACAATCCCCCACCCCTACTACTGCCCTAACCAGCCTTCCATACAACTTCTGAACCTCAGTGTGGCCCTCAGGCCAAGAAGTTTGTGCTAGTTGGACCATTGTTGGTGAACGAGCCAGGCTGGGCAGTATTCCAATTCCCACGCAGCCCAGAACTCAGTAGTGCGTCTCAACTGGGAAAGTCAGGTCAGAGTCAAGATTTGAATGAAGCCCTGAGGCCAGTTCTAGTTTAATGCAGCGAGGCTGCTTATCTGCTCTCCCACAGCCTGTGCCATGTGGTCTTAGCTTCTGGCTGGAAGGGTCCTGAGAGTGAAGAGATTTGCTAACAGTTGT